AAATTGGTTTGCCTACAAAATACACCGTATTTGTACTTTACAGTATATCCTGTGAAATATTTAGAAACATGCCCTAAACGTTAAACCTAAGTTTATTTGAACTCTGATTCACATTAAGAATAGGGTAGCGTTAATGATCACAATGAACATGTTACAAAGACCATTGTGGAGTCCTGTAGCCCAGTGGTTAGAGTACTCGCTTTGCAAGCGAGAAGACCTGGGTTCGATTCTCAGCAGGGGGAAATGTTGGGCAAGTTTCCTTACTCCACAGGCCTCTGTTTAACCTAGCAGTAAGTAGGAACCTGGTTGTTAGTCAATTGCGGATGGCTTTTCCGGGGGTAATAATTCCTTCAAAATAAATAAAAATAATATAGTCACTCAATCCACCACTATTGGTGGGACACTGCTGTGCGCAATTGGCTGCCGCGTTTTGCTCACAAAATATACAGTCAGTTCACTTTACAGTATATTCTGTGAAGCGCTTTGAGACTTCTCGAAGATGTGATAAGACACGATATCAAATGCAAGAATTATTATTATTAACTATTAATTATTTCACCCCGATATCATTTAAGTGGATAGGAAAGTATAAGTTTAATTCTGGAATGGAAGACAGAGATGATTAATTCAAGGGGTAACAATGTCATCAACCAGAGATCTGTATATTCCTATGCCGCAATCATAATCATCCAATCCTTGGTGACCACTTGAAACTGTACACCAACTTTCTCCATTGAGGCGTCATAGAAAATGTAAACCACCATTAATAGTCATTGAGTTTCTAATGCTTGGTACATTTGCAACCAATTTTGTCCAATGAGAACAAACCTATATGTGTGGTCTTACAGTAGTTCAGGAAACATGGTCTAAAATTAAACCGTAGACTCATGTCACAGTACACAATGTGGTGTAAATGCTTAGCTACTGCAGAGTGCAAAACCAGAGCGAGCTTGCCTCAGTGCAGAACACTTGCACTCTGCTCTATGGTTTACACATTTTTAAAAAAATTATTACCTGAGGTAAGTTTCTGTCTCTCGTGGAATTATGTTTTCACCCTTCAGGAAGTGAAACTAAGTTCAAGTTAGTTTGAACGTAGGTGGTGGGAGGGGGGGAGGCGTGGTGGGTGGGATGGTTGGTTGAGGGAAGTGAAAAGAAAGGTCTTCCGGTGAATTTTACAAATTTGGGGGGGAGGAGGCAGAGGGAATCCAGAATGGAGTTCCAGAGAGCAGGATGGATGTGGTGGGGCGGGTTGGTCTGGAGACATGAATTGGGCTGGTGTTTGCTAAATGGAGAGGGCGATGTGGGTTTTAGGGTTAATTGGCTGCCGCATTTACCTCCAAGGTACAGTAATTCAGTGAAGTGCTTTATTAAATGCAAGGAGTATTTTTTATTCTACTGTTGCCCAATTTATAGACGAGCATGTACTAGGCCAAGAGTAGGCAAGGTTTTGGCAGAACCCAAAGTCAAAACAGCTTGCCAACATTTATTAACCAGCCCACGTGTGACGAATGATGGCTTGGATCATATACCTGATATTATCTACTTAAACCCAACTACAATATCAGTCACCAGATTCAAGAGAAGAGTAGATGTTTAAAAAAGTGGTAGGAACATATCAACCCTTATCTAACACCTTGAAGATGTTTGCGGTGTTTGAAGAAACATACACACACAGACCCCTTCTCTCTGCTTTTTATATCTGAAAAAAATATTTTCTGAGCCTACACATGGTTGAATTGCACATTGGCATTTGGAGAAATGTAAAATATTTCAGTAACAAACACTAAAAATAAATACTTTTGACACACACAGAGCAGAAGTGTTTGAAGATGTGAAAACGAACGAGCGCATGGGAATGCAGTACTGTCCTCTACACAGGAAGTATCACTACTTTGTAGTTGTTGCTCTGAGGGGCCCAAAGTTTGTTTCAACGAAAGATCAAGAAGCAGACATCATATTTAGCCTATATAGTTCATTCCATGGTCCATCTTCTGTATCCGGACCCGATTCCATCACTTTCCCCTATCCCAAACCCGCATCACTTTTTTTCTCCCGCTGAACCAGTTTTCTTTTAAACGTCTTCACTTACTCAGAAACGCTGCACTAGATGGCAGTCGATTCCACTGCCCATTCTGGAGGTGGAGCGACTTCCAACATGTTGAGCTTTCATTGGCTACAACCTGATTTTTGAAGGGTAGTTTTCGGTCAATTGAAAACCCAAATACTGGAGATTAACAGACTTCAGTATAGCAGAGGCCAATCATTGACACATAAGAAATCATCAAAACAGGAAACGTAAGGTACAAATGCGTCAAAAAGCCGAAGAATTGTTAAGTCATGGTCAGACGTTTAGGTCACTGATTTAATCACCAGAATTGGCCGTAGTTTCTTTTATAATTTGTTATTAATCTGCTTTAAGGAAAACATCGGATTTGAGAAGGTAGATCATCTCCATAGTGTGCCGTTCTTGTTTGGTTGCAGTTGCTGCTTGGACCGTTGGTTTCAATGTTGAGTTAACGATTACTTTCTGCTACAGCCTGTGTTCTGGTGTGAAATGTATGACTTGCCCATTTGCATCCAGTCTCATTTCACGGTTATGTTTTGAGACATTTCCCCATTATTTCAGTTTCACTTTTGCATAACAGAACAACATCCATGTGTATATACACACACTCTGGTAGAGAGTGATTGATATCTCTGGGTGAGAAATGTAACATTTGATAGCAGATTTGCTGTGAAAATATTGTTGCATTCACACTTTGCCCCCCCACCCACCCCCCGATACCCCATGGGAACAGTTGTAGAGAAGTTAAGAATTCTTCATTTTAAAAACAAATTGACAGATAGAAAGTATAGTTGAGCAATCCCAATTGCAGCTGAATTAGATACAGAGTAAAATTGCTTCTCCAGATCCAACAATTAACCTCAGCCTCAACTATGATGAATTATCAAATTTTGCGACAATGTAACTTTTTCCCATTTTCCACAACAACTTTCCACGGCCTGTCACAGAGAATGGAAAATTGATGCTAAATTAAGCACACTTTTGTGCTGTGAGCCTACATCTTGTTCGTCAGCCTGGCTCATTTGGTTGTAGCCTTGCCTCGTCATCAAAAGGTTGTGGGTTCATGCCCCACATCAGGATTTGGAACTTGGAACTCAGTCTAAAATGACATCCCAGTGCAGTTGCTTGGGGTGTGCTGCATTGTTGGAGCTGCCATCCTTTGGATGAAACGTTAAATCCTGTCTGCCTACTTGCAAAGAAAAGGGAGTTTCCCCTGATTTCCTGGCCAACAATCCACCAAATAAAATGGATCATTTGTTTCATGGCTGCTTGTCGCACATTGCTATGCACAAATTGGCTGCTGCAATCACCCACGAAACATACAGTCACCTCATTTTACAATATATCCTGTAAAGAGCTTTGAGATGTCCGCCTGGCCTGAAAGGCACTGTATCAAATATAAGCATTCTTATTATCTACTGGGATCTGAGTTAACACTGCACAAAAGTAGAGATTAGTATCTAACCCAATGCGCCACAACCATGCAGAACATAATTAATTGCTATAGCATCACAACACTTTGTGTTGCATCTCTGACTAATATACCTGGAAAAAAGTATCACTTTATCAGAACAATCATGTCTTTAGGTGAATGAGTTCTATTTAGAATCTTTTTTTTATTGAATAACGATCACGGCTTTTCAGAGAGACAGACTGTAATATTACATGTTATTATCTTAGTGCTATACTTCTTCATAATGGTCTGTGCCTTTGTAATGATCTCTGATTTAGAGCCTCTAAAGCAATGGTTTACGCTTAACGGTTTATAGCTCCCAGGAGTTATGAATAGAAAGTTTTCAATGACACAGCAACGTCCCTTGGTAATACAGCAGTCTGAAACATATCAGCACCTGTACTTTTATGTCAATATCGTAACAAATACAATGTTGTTGAATGCGCCTGAGGCATTTGGGATGAAAAAGCCATTCAGCAGAAACACTCCATCCAATTTGAAAGGGAATTTTGAGTGACTCAATGCTTCACTATCAAGTGTGATATTAGGTTAGACATGCTAAGCAGATTCAAGGTTATGTCCTTGTCTGTGCTGATTTAGTGGATCTTCCGGGTTAAGGCACAAAGTTAGCCAGACTTCCCATTTATGATCAGCTTTTTGACCAAAATTATTCTGATTGAAAGCACGGTCAAAGAAATGCATGTTTAGGTGGGTTTTGAAGGTGGGGAGGAACGAGGCAAGTTGGAGGGTTTTGGGATGGAATTGCAGAGAGCAGGGCAGAATGGAGAAAGCCTGCCTGCCCACTGACGGTGGGGAAATAGGCTGGGAGACATGAAGCAGGACAGTTTGCTGAGCAAAGGAAGTGCTAACTAACTAACTGACTGACCAACCAACCATTGAAAGGGGGATCTCTGATATCCATTGAATCATATGTCAGTAGAAGGAAGGCAAGTACATTGGCAAAAATAGCTGCTGGTCCATGAATTCATATTTCACACTTCACAAGATCAAAAGAAAAGTATCGGATGAACAATGCCTTTCTTCCCTCCCTCCCTCCCTCCTTCCCTCCCTCCCTCCCATGAAATAATTGTGAGGAATGGCAGTCCTGGAGAACGTAAGTTTATTTTCAAATTGTATCAATCATGAAGGCAATTGTGTATGTCAGAGTGCAACTCTGATTCCGAGTTTCCAATAGCTGAACTAAATAATTCAGCCAGATGACTACAAACAATTCCAACAATAGAAAAAAGTGCAAGCACAGAATGTCCTGAACACAATCAAACCGAAGCAATAAATATTCTGAGGTCTTTCCAAAATCTTAATAGAAACTTGAAAATAATAAGTACACTAACTGTTAGTTTACAGTCTGAAATTCCACACTGGCTGATTTAAGCGGACAAAGGTGAAAAAAGGAAGCAGTTAAATTAAGCCAAGGGGGTTGTACTAGTATCGCTACCTCATCAACCTTTTCACAGAGCTATTAAAACCCATCACCTCTCTTCTTAGAAACTAGGAAGGAAGCTGCTCATTTGAGAGTACACATACATGTGAGATGTGATTGAGAGTGATATCATATTATCTGATTTAACCTGAAGAAATCTGCCAAGAAATGAAGCAAGCTCTACTGATTGTGATGTGTATCAATGCCTTTATGTGGACTGTGTTTGCAGGTAAGTGAGATGCTACAGGATCAGGTTTCAAAGGAGCTACACAAACAAATAAGGAACTGACTGATTGAATTAACTAACTGTCTCTATGGGATGTAATGGGATATTGTTTATTATTGATCATAAAAACATGTGCTGAATTTCGATAATTATATTATATTTTGTTTTGCAGTGACCGGTCACGTAAAGATAGATTGTTGTACGAAATACGTAAAAATTCCTCCCATTGGGAGACTGAAGAATTATAAAATACAAAAGGATGATGGTCGCTGCGTTATCGAAGCTGTGAAGTGAGTATTCCCAACACTGGCTCTAGGGTCTGGCATTATACAGTTGTGTCTGGGCTATTTGTTTGGTCAGCCGAGTTTCTGACATATGCGGAAACCCTTCACCATACTTAAGAGTTCCAACCCAAACTGGGAATTCCATGCACCCCAACTACACATGGAAGTTCCAGAGATAAATTGTTGGAATGGAATGTGCACTCTTGGGGGGGCCCAACCTCTTCCCTAATTCCAGAAAGTATTAGGTGGAGGTTGGCAAGAGCCGAGGCTTGGGAACCCAAAGTGTGCATGGGTGTAACTGCTAGAATCTAATTAGCTAAAACCACATAGCTTGCCATAGATAGCTCTGTCTGCAAAGTCTGAGATGTACCTTGCTGCCAGTTCAGCTCCATGGAGATCCCTCTTACACCCGCCACCCCAACCCACCTCAAGAAAGAGTTTAAAGGGCTTTCAGCTCATCAGAATAAGGGTATGAAAGCCTGATCGAGTGAATGGCCACTGTGGTGTCTGTGCTATTTGGAGTCTGCATCCTATAAGGTGACATTATCAGTAAACAAACTTTTCTTTTCAGATTCTACACTGTAAGAAACAAAACTCGCTGCGGTGATCCACACAATAAACAAATAAAGCGTCTCGTGGAACAACTTCGGGTCAAAGTTTGAAACCAAGAGTAGACATGGATCTTTCGTGGCAGGATATGGAACCAAATGAATGTTGGCGGCATAAAGCCAAAAAACTATTTCCCTTAAGTTTCTGCTTTTACCCTCAGAACCAAATATATCGGGGGCACAATTTTATATTTTTGGCTTACGCTTCAATTAAATACTTTGCTACCTATTGATATGAAGTGCTTCAGTAAGTTTAAACAGTTGGCTTGTAATATTTTAACAAGAATGGCACAAGAAATGTGCATTGTATCTAGGGGCTGATGATCATCTTAATTGTACATCTCTTATGAAATTAATGGAATTCTGTTGAATGGAAAATGTAATTAAAATGTAATTGAAATTACAAGGAAAAATATGAATAGATGTTCTCATAATTTTAGTAACTTGGAGGGGATGGGAAGTGGGGAATAGTTTATGAATCCTATTATGTGGCACATTTCCCAATTTCCTGTTTTGCTGAAGTATCCCTTGGATCTAGTGCATGCTCTAGGCTTTCAAAATGACCCTAAACAAAAATTGCTACTATCTTCCTTGGGGTCAGCAGGAGAGGTAAATAGGGTCTCTTTGAGACTGAATTGGCTCCCAGATGATTGTAATGGAATGCTGGAATATTGAAAGCTGCTCCTCTGTGACTCTCTCATTAGTCTCTTTCCGGAGACAGGCAGGTCTTGGGCTTGCAGGGTTAACTGGAGTGGTGAAACTCCTTTGGCTCAGAAACTGAACTCCTGAGACCGCCAAAGAGAGCTGGCTCGATTCCAACACTCCATTGCCAAGCATATCACCTTGGAGTCAGTTCAGCTCCAAGGAGACCCTGCTTACTTCCCCCCCAAGGAGGATAGTTACTAGTTGGTCGTGTGATATCTGGCAAATGGGGGTTTGAGCCCTCACTAGGTGGATGGCACATACCAGGAACTCCCTGCGAGCTTCCCGGAGGGCAACACAGTTCAGCATGGAATATGTGAGAGCATTGCCACTATCTTCCTGTCCGCAGCTTGGACACATATCCATTCATTCCCTTTGAGCGATGCTTCCACCAGTTGGACATCTGCAACTCCAACTGTCGGGAAAGGCCACTGAGGCATGATTTAATTTGAATGCGGTTTGCTATATTTTAACGTAATTCAATTCTACAATTCATTTCAGGTGCAATTTTTTTGGTATATCCAAATATCCACACATTGCTGATTAATAACAAGGTGAAATATTCTTGCTCAAAGAAATGATTCTCTTTTAATTCTCTTGGAAATTCTGAAAGATCCCTGCTGCCTGTTCGTGCAGAAGCTCCAGATCTTGGTAAAAGCCACAGATCAGTTTTATGTACAGCTACTGATGATTCACCACACATTCGTAGCATGGCAATGCCTGCACACATGTTGGAAAAAAAGACTCTTTATAGCATAGTTATTGTGAGCATCGATTTGAGGATCCAATCCTGAACATTTGTTGACCTTCCTACAAAGGAGTAAATCTCTCTTAAACATAATCAAATGGCCATGCTTTTACTGTGACTATTGTTGCTTTGCCATCTTATTCTGTGCATGTCTGTGGTTTAGGCTGAAGTGTAATGATAAAATGTACAGCCAACACACCACAGAAAATGCTAAAAATAGAAAATGTTTGTTTTCTTAATTGCTCTGAACACTATCAGACAAAGAATAGATATTTGGAGGTACTTCGCAAGTCTTAAAAGAAAATTGTAATTTGAAAATAAAGAAATATTGTCAGCTAACAGTCCAAAAGTCCTACTTGCCTAATTCCAGACAGTATTAGGTGGAGGTTGGCAAGATCCTGTGGCTCAGTGGTTAGAGCACTCGCTTTGCAAGTGAGAGACCTGAGTTCAATTCCAGGCAGAGGGCGAAACCTTGGGCAAGTTTCCTTACTCCACACAGAGCCTAATAATAATCACACCAAAATAACAAAAACAATAATAAATTGGTCATTTTCAATCCATATGACTGTTTGTGGGACATTGCTGTGCGCAATTGGCTGCCGCGTTCGCCCACAAATATACAGTCAATTCACTTTACACTGTGTTCTGTGAAGCGCTTTGGGACATCCTCCCGACGTGAAAAGCGCTATATCAAATGCAAGGATTATTATTATTATTATTATTATTATTATTATTATTATTATTATTATTATTATTATTATTATTATTATTATTATTATTATTATTATTATTATTATTATTATCCAAGGCTTGGCAACCCAAAGTGTGCATTGGGGTAACTCCTGGAATCTAATCAGCTACAACTGCATAGCTTGCCATTGATAGCTCTATCTGCAAAGTCAGCCAGAGATGTCACCTTGGAGCCAGTTCAGCTCCGAGGTGTTACTGCTTACTCCCCACCCCTCCCATGAACGAGTTTAAAGGACTTTCAGCTCATCAGGAAAAGGGTTTGAAAGCCTGATCGAGTGAGTGAATGGTCGCTATGGTGTCTGTGCTATTTGGAGCCTGCATCCTATATGGTGGCATTATCAGTGAACAATCTTTTCCTTTTCTGGTTCTACACAGTAACAAACAGAACTCCCTGCGGTGATCCACACAATAAGTGAGTAAAGTGGCTCATGGAACAACTTCCGGTAACAGTTTGAAAACCAAGAGTACACATGGATTTTCCGTGGCAGGATATGGAACCAAATGAATGTCTGCAACAAAAAGCCGAAAACGTATTTATCTTATGTTTCTGCTTTTACCCTCAGAACCAAATATATCTGGGGCACAATTTCATATTTTTGGCTTACGCTTTAATTAAATACTTTGCTACCTATTGATGTAAAGTGCTCAGTAAGTTTAAACAGTTGGCTTGTAATATTTTAACAAGACTAGCACAAAAAATGTGCATTGTATCTAAGGGCTGATGATCATCTTAATTGTACATCTCTTATGAAATTAATGCAATTCTGTTGAATGGAAAATGTAATTAAAATGTAATTGAAATTACAAGGAAAAATATGAATGGATGTTCTCATAATTTTACTCACTTGGAGGGGATGGGAAGCAGGGAATATATCATGAATCATGTTATCAATCATTCGTAAGATCTGGCACATTTCCCAATTTTCTGTTTTGCTGAATCGTTCCTCAGTCTCCTTGAGACTAGTTGTTATGCTGAAATCCTCTGGAAAACACAAGGACCACAGTTTGTGCACTCTCTAGGTTTTCAAAATGACCCCAAACAAACATTGCTACTATCTTCTTGGGGGTCAGCAGGAGAGGTAAAAAGGGTCTCTTTGAGACTGAATTGGCTCTCAGATGATTGCAATGGAATGCTGGAATATTGAAAGCTGCTCCTCTGTGACTCTCTCATCAGTCTCTTTCCTGAGACAGGCAGGTCTTTGGCTTGCAGGGTTAACTGGAGCTGAGTGCGAGGATTCCCAGTGACTGGTCTGCCCTCAAGACCTGTATCAGCAGTGCTGTGGATCAATGGGAACTCCTTAGCTCAGAAGTTTGAACTCCTGAGACCGCCACAGAGAGCTGGCTCAATTCCAACACTCCATTGCCAAGCATATCACCTTGGAGTCAGTTCAGCTCCAAGGAGACCCTGCTTACCTCCCCCCCAAGGAAGATAGTTACTAGTTGGTCGTGTGATATCCGGCAAATGGGGGTTTGAGCCCTCAATAGGTGGATGGTACACACCAGGGACTCCCTGCGAGCTTCCCAGCGGGCAACACAGTTCAGCATGAAATGTGTGAGAGCATTGCCACTATCTTCCTGTCCGCAGCTTGGGCACATATCCATTCATTCCCTTTGAGCGATGCTTCCACCAGTTGGACATCTGCAGCTCCAACTGTCGGGAAAGGCCACTGAGGCATGATTTAATTTGAATGCGATTTGTTATATTTGAATGTAATTCAATTCTACAATTAATTTCAGGTGCAATTTTTTTGGTATATCTAAACATCCACATATTGCTGATTAATAAAAAGTTGAAATATTCTTGCTCAAAGAAATGATTCTCTTTTAATTCTCTTGAAAGTTCTGAAAGATCCCTGCTGCCTGTTCGTGCAGAAGCTCCACATCTTGGTAAAAGCCACAGATCAGTTTTATGTACAGCTACTGATGATTCACCACACATTCGTAGCATGGCAATGCCTGCACACATGTTGATAACAAATATTCTTTATAGCACAGTTATTGTGAGCATTGATTTTGAGGATCCAACTCCTGAACTTTTGTTGACCTTCCTACAAAGGAGTAAATCTCTCTTAAACAAAATCAAATGGCCATGCTTTTACTGTGACTATTGTTGCTTTGCCAACTTATTCTGTGCATATCTGTGGTTTAGGCTGAAGTGTAGAGCTGGATTGAGAAATGTACAGACAACACACCACAGAAAATGATTAAAATAGAAAATGTTTGTTTTCTTAATTGCTATGAACACGATCAGACAAAGAATAGATATTCGGAGGTACTTCGCAAGTGTTAAAAGAAAGTTGAAATTTGAAAATAAAGAAATATTGTCAGCTAACAGTACAAAAGTCCAACTTCCTGACGTCTGATTTAAGTGGACAAGTTGTAAAGGAAATAGTTCAGGGGTTGTACACGTATCCTCGCCTCATCATTCTTTCCACAGAGTTGTGAAAGCCCATTTTTGTATCACCGCCTCCGTTCTCAGAAACTAGGAAGGAAGTTGACCATCTGAAAGTGTATATATGTGAGATGTTATTGAGACTTCTATCATATTCTCTGATTTGACCTCAGTGAAGAAATCTGCAAAGAAATGAAGCAAACTCTCCTGGTTGTGATGTGCCTCTGTGTCTTTATGTCGACTGTGTTTGCAGGTAAGTCAAACAGTGCAAGAGTCTCAGAGACAAAAAAGGAATTGACTGGTTGAATTAATTATCTGTCGCTATGGGATTTAGATATTTTTATTATCTTAAAGTATGACCTGCATTTTAATAATCATAATAATGACAAAATATAGAGATGCGTCTTACATTGTTTGTAAGATAATCAGTGAGAGAAAGATCTTGTGTAAAGAATGATAACAAATATTCTGCTCTTTGTTCGAGTTAATTGGCTTCTTTTCCTACTGAATTACTCTGATCTGAACACTGAGCACTTACTTTAAACCTGTCGTGAACTAAAATGACTAAATGTTGATCGTGTAGCTGTGTATCATAGAGCACCACCCAGACTGTTGAGTTATTATAGGCGATATTGTAGATTAAAATCAGGAATAATCATTCACCATCTATGACTGGCCATCATGCTTATAACAGCTTACAATATGTAATTGCTTATAGTTTGTGCTGCGTTCATCTAAACCAACAAAAAGCATAGGAATTTCATTAGCATGATGTTCATTACTTTATTAGTACAGTTACGTTTAAGAAATGCAGTAATGAATGAATGATAGGCAGTGCAGTGCAGTGCAATGCCACGTGTTAAACTGTGTGAGTCCAAGGACAGCCCTGGATTATCGAGATCAGTGTTTCTTCCATCCTTCACCTCTTCTTGAGTTATTATACCATGATGCATTGAAACTGACTACTTTGAGCGTGGTAATATTTCCTCTCACCCTGTGTCTACATGGGTTGCCACTGCTCACTGTTTTCCTTAACAGCATGGCTGAGGTTAGAGGCTGAATCACAACCACAAAGCCGTAACTGTGTTAAAGCGCATTGATGCAACACGTGTAACATCACCTGATGGCAATGGTCGACTCTAAGGACCTCAATGCAAAACTAGTAGATTTGTTGTATTATTCATAACAATATCATCAGATTTTACTAAAATTCCAGAGAGAGAGACAGCCTATTTACCACTAAGAAATCTTAACATTGCTTAGCTAGGCCAACGAGAATTCAAAAAGAAAGGAATTGCCATGGTTTCATCTCATGGCTTAATACCACAATCAATTGAATGACCAAAGCCATTCATTGTGGGTTAAAGAGACTTTCAGGAGAGCAAATCTAATATTGTACAGCATTCAAATGTTGTGCAGGAGTTAAAGTAACACTTTGCACAAAACCTTATTGGTAATGAGGGGTTTTATCTGAATTATCTCATGATAATGATCAGATCGCCTTTATTTCAATTGTATTAAAATAATATATATATATATATATTACATTTATATGTGTAATATGTCAAAATAGACAACAAATTGCTACACTAAGACTGGAAAACAAACCTGATTCAGTAACAGAGGTTAATATCAGTCATTATTAATTCTCAGCCTCTATCAGTAGAAACGTACTACTAGTTTGTAAGGTGACATTATTGGGTTTGTGTAAAAGACAAAAAAACACAATTTTATAAAATACTCCTTTTAATGGTTTACACCCTCTATTCCACTGAGATTGACAGCACACAGGATTTTAGTTATTACCAACAGAGCTGACAACATTTGTCAAGAGTGTTTCAGTGAATATTAGCCCAGTTCCTCACACCTCAGGTGAAATATAATCAATACTGCAAGCCTATTCAATTGTACCAAGGTAGCCATGGTATGAAAGTCTTGAGATAACAAGACTTTTTAATTGCTGCTTCTTATGTGTGACGCAGATGAACTATCACCTACCCACTGATTAGCAGGATTCTCATTAGCTTTATTATATTTTTTTTTGCAGTGACCGGTCACATTAAGAAAAGTTGTTGTTTGACATATCCATCAAAAATCCCTCCCATTGAGAGACTGAAGAAATATGAAATACAAGAGGATGATGGGCGCTGCTCTATCAAAGCTGTGATGTAAGTATTCCCAATACTGGCTCTGGGGTCTGGTATTATACAGTAATATCTGTGCTATTTGGAATCTGTATCCCACACAGTGACATTAAGGGTAACCATCTTTTTTTTTCAGATTTATCACAGTACAAAACAGACGTTTCTGTGCAGATCCAGACAATGCATGTGTAAAGCAGCTCATGAAAAACATTAAGGCCCGTTCAGCTCAACGGCAAAAGAAGTCGAAAGCTAAACGTACATAGAGAATTTCCCTGGCAGGAGATGGAACCAGATGAATGTCTGCAGAACAAAGCCGAAAGCCAACAAATCATTTTTCTTGTGTTTCTGCGTTTATCCTTGGATTCAAATAATTTACAAAACATAAGCAAGATCTGGTGCACAATTTCATATTTTTCACAGGTGTACCACTCAAATGCTTTGCCACCTATTGATATAAAGTGCCTTGATGAATTAGAACAGTTGGCTTGTAATGTCCTAACACGAATGCTATGTGAAATAGTCACCAACAGTGGGAATAATAGTTGATTTCCCCTCCTACATGCCCCATGGAAACTGATGTCAATTTTAGCAATCCTGCTAATCCAAATCTTGATTGTCCAGTGCCATGGGACATCCTCCTGACGTGAAAGGCGCTGTACAAATGTAATCTGTATTGTATTGCTACCTTCCAACTGAGAACTAATAATACTGTATATAGATAAGCAACTGATTAATTGTTTGTAACCATTGATTGATACTGGTTTTTGAATATAATTTAATTCTGTTCTTGTAAACGAAGGTATCAATGATATTTATTTTAGTTGTAACAATTTTTTTGGAATTCATCTGTTAACTTTTAAATCTATTTATAATTTCTTGTATTCTAATTATTTGAACCCGTCACAAACTATGTTTGAAAAACAACGCTTCCTTGAGGGAACAGTTTACTACTTTTATTAAAATGTTGGCCCTTCATGCATAAGAAACCCACAAACCATAGAATGAAGAATAAGATGATGTGCTCACTTTATATTAGTCTAATGATCATCTTAACTCTGTAATACTTCATGTGAAATGAATGTAATCCTGTTGAATGTGGAACTACATTAAAATGTCATTGAAATTCAAAGAAAACAATTAATGGATGTTTTCATAATTTTAAAGGGGGTGAGAATGGGGAACCATTTTATTAGTGCCTTGGGATGTCCTCTGGACATGAAAGGCGCTATACAAATGTAATTTGTTGTTATAAAATGGAACTGAAATGTGTTATAATAATAATAAACCTTGCATTTGATATAGATTTCACATGTCGGAAAGACAGCTCAAAGCACTTGACAGGATTTACTGTGAAGTGTAGTGACTATTTTGTGCATAAACATGGCAACTAAATTGCACACAGTAATGTCCCCCAAACATCCATAAAACAAATAATAATTTTATCTGGTGAATTGTTGATTAGGACTCCTTTTCCTTTTCAAATAGTGCCATAGGATCTTTAACTTCTACCTGAACAGGCAGATGGACTTCGGTTTAACATTCATCTGATGGAAGGCACTTCCAACAGTGTAACGCCCCCAACATGGCAATGGAATCACATTGGACTATGTGATTTCAAAGTATAGACATAGGGTTGAACCTACAGTAATCTGCCTGACAGGCAAGAGTGCTACCAATTCAGTCAAACTGACACCTTAGGTCAGTCAATATCCCCAACCTCTCTGTCCACCTGAAGTATCTCTCAGTCCTCTGGAGGCACAAATCTATTAGTTGTTATGTTGAAGTCCTCTAAAACACTAGGGCCACAGTTTGGATCTCGTGCACACTCTAGGTTTTCAAAACAATCCCATACGAACATAATAGCTATTGTCTTAGGGGAGGGTGGGGTGCTTTGAGGCGGAATTGACTCTAAAGTGATAGGTGCCAGTCTCAGTAATCTCATCCATGAGTCGGGCAGGTCTTCAGTGCTTCAAGGCACTGTTAATGATGAAAGAGACGATCTAACTTATATTAACCTGAAAAAGCAGAACAATCATTGAGAGCTGGGATTTCTCCCGCTCGGGTCCTGTCAGTCCTAGATGGACAAGCAGCAGGAAGCTTGCCAGTCAGCATTCACAATGTTGGTTGAACTCTACCAGTCTCTCTCCTCAGGCTCTGTTTCACTCCCCCTGAAAACCGTTGTTATCACACCCTTCTCAAAAACTTACCCTCGAACCCTCTAATCTCTTACACTACTATCCCTTTTCCAACCTACCCTTCCTTGCCAAAGGTCTGGAACGCATTGTTGCACGTCAGCTTTGGTCACACCTCTCCCTCCACTCCCTCCTCAAGCCCCTGCAGTCTGGTTTTCGCCCTGCTCACAGCACAGAGACAGCACTTGTCAAAGTCACAAATGACAACCTCTCTATCTGTGACCAGGGCTCTGTCTGTCTCCTCATCCTCCTGGATCTCTCTGCCGTGTTCGACACAGTCGACCACGCCATCCTCCCCCACCAGCTTTCCTCCCTCATCCACCCTAGTGGGACTGCACTCGCATGGTTCGAGTCCTACTTAACCAACCGCCTCCATTTCATCTTGGCAAATGGTTTTCTCCTCCTGCATCTGCCCGGTCACCTGCGTAGTACCCCAGGGCTCCATCCTTGACTCTCTTCCTTTCCTTATCTATATATTCCCTTTGGGCAATGTCATCCGCAGACACAGGGTAAACTTCCACATGTAAGCGGATGACACACAAATCTACTTTGCTTCCAGCACCAACTCCAGGTCCCTGATGTTCTATCAGCTTGTCTGGCAGACATCAAGGCCTGGATGAGTGTAAACTTGCTGCAGCTGAATATGGACAAAATAGAAACCATACTCCTTGGCTCCTGTCAACGTCTTCACTCCTGCGGATCTGAATTCCTCAATTTCCCTGGGCTCTCCCTCACACTTACCGAACCAGTGCACAATCTAAGAGTCCAGTTCGACCCCCAACTGTCCTGCCTCCCCCACATCCAATCCCTGACTAGGACTGCCTTCTTCCACCTCTGCCACATTGACCACGTCTGATCGTATCTTACCCTAAATGCAGCAGAAACTCTCGTACATGTGTTTGTCACATCCTGCTTGGATATACAAACGCACAGCTCGCTGGTATCCCCAGCTCCACCATTCAAAAGATCCAGCCTCCTGCTCGTCCCTCGCACCCTCCACACCACCATTGGAGGTCGCGCCTTCAGCCACGACACCCCGAAATTCTGGAACACTCTCCCTCAATACCTCCGCCTTGCCCCCTCTCTCCCCGTTTTCAAGTCCCGCCTGAAAATCTTCCTCTTCAACTGTGCTTACGACCACCTCCACCTAATATAAGTGCACACTATATAAGTGCAAGTTGTTGTTGTTGTAACAGTACCCCTAATGCTCCATCTGGCATCCTTGGCTCTTGCCAAATGGCACAGACACAATCTTTTTTACATGGTTCTAACCTGTGGGCAGCGCATTCTGCCATTAGGTGCATCTCTCTGCAGCGAGAGTGCATATTCCGTTCAGAGAAAGAGAAGGTTCTATCCACTTGTGGAAATCTCATACATACTATTAAACATGGTGTTGGGTTTTCATCCGTCAGACACTTGGCTGACCAAAAAACAGTTATTAGGCTAACACTCAGAAATTGTGCTTCTGAGCAATTTACACAGATTGGTTTAGAGAGTTATTGCCACTTTATTTTTAAATAAAAAGACCGATTTAACTATAGGATAAAAGCTTCACAGTTTGCTTGATTTGCTAAAGTCTGAATTGGAGAAATAGTTGTGTATCTGTTTTAAACTGCATTTGAATATGATTTGAATATATCGGATTACAACTCAATACTACAACCATTTTAGGTGCAATAGATATTCCCTTTGATATATTCATACATTGTATATTCACGCAAAACTAGTCAATAAAAAGGTGAAATATTCTTGCTCAATAAAATGAATTTTGTTGTTGTTGATTCTGTTTTAATTCTCCTAAAAGTTCTGATAGTTTCTGGCTGACAGTTTGTGTGCAAACACCAGATCGTGATAAAAGCCATAGATCAGTTTTGTGTACGCTTAGTGATAGTTCACCACACATTCATAGCATGGCAATGCCTCCTCACATGTAAAAAAATAATCTCTAGGGTACACGTTTTTTTATCAGTATCCCACAGATAATGTTGCTGAGATGTGTTGTTATAATCTAAAAATGTCTATTCTTTGGGTGGATATTTAAGCTCCCAATCCAGACTCGGGCTTCGAGATGTCCTTCCAGAGCAATTGGCTCTATATAAACATAAATTGTGTTGTATTAAGATCCCATTGTACTATTGAAAAATAGAAGGGCCTTTCTTCCAGTGTCCTGGCTAACAACCCTCCAGATAAATTGGTTGTGAGTACTTGTGTGCAAAATGACAACTGCATTTTCCAACAAAAAGTCACCACACAAATTGCTGGAGCCAATTTAGCATGATAAGATGCTGGGATAGTTTATACTCTTTCTACCTTGAACGCTTTGTAAAAAATATTTTTTCCCTATCAAATGAAGATGAATAATGCTAGTCCTGGAAAATGACCTACAACGTTTGATTAATATTTTTTAATTGCCATTCATTTGATCCCACATCTGAACTTTTATACACCTTCCTGCGAAGTAGTAAATCTCTCTATAATAAAATCGAGTGAGTGTGTACTTTAACTATGATTATGGTTGCTTTGTCAACTTATTCCGTGCAGCTTTTGGGAGGTGCAGGTCTGTGGTTGAGGGCTGAAGTCAGAGGTAATGAAATGTACAGACATCACGCCACAGAAAATGATAAAAATAGAAAACATTTGACAATTAATTTTTATGAACACGATTAGATAAAGAATAGAATAGAATTAGGAGGGACTTCCCAAGTCTATAAAGAAAGTTGTAATTTGAAAGTACAGAAAAATACAGTTCTAAAAGTCCAACTCTTTGCGGTTGTCTGATTTAAGTGGACGAAAAATGCAAAGGAAACAATTAAATTACGACAGGGGGTGTACACGTATCATTCTTTCCACGGAGTTGTAAAAGCCCACTTCACGCCTCCCTCTTCAGAAGCTAGGAAGGAAGCTGACCCTCTGACTGTGTAAGTGTGTGTGTATATATATGAGATCGAATTGAGAGCGATATTATATTCTCTGTTTGAACCTCGTTGAAGAAATCATCAAGGAAATGAAGCAAGCTCTCGTGGTATTGGCGTTCCTCACCATCTTTGTGTGGACCGTGGTTTCAGGTAAGCGAGATGCTTTATTACTGTCACTTTGAAGAAGACTTAGTAGCAAAGACACCACCGAGCGAGGAAATAGGGGTCCGTTGGTTCAATTAATTATCTTTGTGGGAATTAAATGTTGACTTTTGATCATAAAAAGTCGTGGTGCACTTCAGTACTTATAATAATAGCAAAATACAGAAGTAAATCAGAATTATTTGTAGGACGATCAGCAAGAGAAACCCTTGTGTAAACAACTGTAAAAAAAATTCTGTTCTTTGGTCGGGTTCCTTGGCTTAATTTCCTCCTGAGATCCTTTGATTGACACGGACCGATCCGAATAACTAACACTTACTTGAATCCCGTTGGAAAAAAATACTAAAAGTGGTCAAATAGGGCTAACGTTATTGTGTATTGAATGTCCATGGCTGGATATCATGGTTCTAACACCTTACAATATGTATATGTTTATAGTCCGTGCCAGCACTGATTCTAAACCGACAAAACCCGCAGCAACCGCATTAGCACAACGACTTTACTACAAAAGATCTTACTGTGTCCGTTTTGCTGTTATACTTGTTAATTTATTGAGAGTTTGTTACCAGAATGCACAAGTCAAATTGGCTTCAGTGTGCTTTGCATTCAGTGTGTGCTGTTCAATGTCGATTAATGCTGCAACAATTATTGGAATCTTTAAGAAATGCAGTAATCCATTAATTAATGATCAGCAGTGCACGAAGCACATGAAAATTGCACACCAAATCTGAGAGTGTAAGGTGTTAACATACCAATGAGAGGCCGTCCATTACTAGGACAGCTCTGGCACTTGCACAATAGAGATAAATGTTTCTTCTATATCTCCCCTGTCATGGAGTCATTGTATTTGTGATTCTACAACTGTGAATAAAACACAATCTGAAATGAAAGCAAGTCGCAATCCAGTTTTCAATGGAGAATGTGCACTGTGGTCAACAAGATGACAATGAACCATTTCCTGTGTCTCAGTATATTAATTCATCTATTGATTTGTCATTAGCCATCTGCCGTTAGACGAAGGCAAACCTTGTGACCAGCCAATACAGCAAGTGCTATCAATCTATACTGAGGAACAAAGCCAGCGAGTATAAAATAGTGTCGCAGAAGTCATTCCATTTCCCTGCAGAAAATGTCACTTTTGCTTATTTGCTTTTTTCACCTTTAGCAGTGTCCATTGGCCACTCTACTTTTCTAGGTAGGCTACGTGCTCCTCTCTGGTTGAGGGAAGTGTCGAGCAGACTTCCTCCTGCTCTTGAGCTGAAAGCTGGGAGATATTTCTCGCTCTTTGTGAGGAACCCTTGGCCTTTGCTCAATAGTTCACCCTACTGAGGTTAGAAACTGGGCATACAGTAATTCACAGCCACAAATACTATATCTGGACCACAGTACATTAGGTCACTGGTGCAAGACATGTACCTCAATGTAATCTGATATTATTAATAGTCATATTGATAATATTTTGACTTCATCCAGCTAAAATACTGGAAAGGGCCACCAAGAATTCTTACTTTTGCCTGGCTCTTCCTTCCTGGCTATCAACAATTATGGCACAAAAGGAGAAGAGTTGGCTTAATGCCACAATCAGCTGGATGTCTAAACCCAGTCTTGTAAAGTCAAAAAGACTGGTTCTTTCCATTGGGAAATTCCAATAATCTACAGCATTTAACGGCGATAAAAGAGCCCATATCCCGTGTAGGGATTGAACTGAATTACCTCATCTTGAACTAAATTTGAGTTACTTATATATAATTGATGTACTCAATGAATGTTATTGTGTTCTGTTTCGCAGTGCCTGGTCAAATTAAGAAAAGTTGTTGCCTGACTGCTTCAGCACAACCTCCTCACTACAAGAAGTTGACGAATTATGAAATACAGGAAAATGACGGTCGTTGCAACATCAAAGCTGTGATGTGAGTGTTCCCAACAATTCCTGTAGTGTCTGGTATTGCAGGAAACATGGGGGAAAAAAAGAACAGGAGAACTCCATTCAGCCCCTCAAGCCTGTTCCACCAGTTTATTAGCAGATCTTTTATTCTCAATACCTTACCCTTCACAATACCCCTCAACACTTCTGCTGCCCAAGTACATTTTATTAGTAGTAGTATTATTATTATTGCTAAGCGAGCTTATCACCCCTATCCTTGCCCAGCTCCATTGGCTCCCCATCCCTCACAGGATCAGGTACCTCATCCAAGTAATCATTAAACCATGAGGCCACAACAGCCAAACCTGATCCTGTTGCCAAACCAGATGTCAATGTTTTTGTTGTTGTAGTGGTTATACCTGCTCACCTCTCGCTTAAACTCTCCCTCTTAATTCCACCTCTACCACTCTACCTCTATAGGAAGAGTATTCCACATTTTCACATCTTCAATGTGATTCAAACTAACTGTCTTAGTTCTGATTTTAAGGCTGTGTCCTGTTGTAATGGATCTCTCTGCTAGAGGGAAGAATGGTCCATTATCTGAACTATCAATTCCTTTCATTATTTCAATTACTTCAATCAAATCATCCTTTAACTTCCACCCAGTCTACACAGACTCTCATCACAAATAAGCTCTGTCAACCCAGGTATTAATCGAGTGAACTGTTACTGTGATGTCTGTGCTATTTGGAGTCTGCTTCCTATATGGTGGCATTATTAGTAAACAATCTTTTCCTTTTCAGATTCTACACTATAACAAACAGAACTATCTGCTCAAATCCAGCTAATAAACGAATAAAAATGCTTATGAAACGATTTCGGTTAAAAGTTTGAAATCCTGAGAATAGACATGGATTTTCCGTGACAGGAGATGGAACCATTTGAATGTCTGCAGCACAAAGTCGAAAAAGAATTTCTCTTATGTTTCCGCTTTTGATTCTATATATGGAGAAGTGACTGATGAATTGTTTGTAACTGTAGCTATTCCTTTTTTGCTTAGTTTTATTTCTGTTGCTGTAAACAGAGATTTATTCTTGAAATGCCGACAGTGATATTTATTCTAGTTGTAACATAATTTGTCTGGAACCCAGAACCTAGTTTGTTTTTTTCAATGTATTTATGATTTCCTAAAATGATGCTTTATATTTGAATCATTTGTGTTTTGTTTATGGTCTGTATTTGAATGCAATGCATTCCCAAATTCACAGGGAACAGTTTATCACTTTTATTTATAAAGGTGGACCCTCTTAGCAATACAAACTTCCACACAGCACTTGGAATAAAGAATCCCAATTTCATGCACAGTTTGTCACATGTTGTTTACATTCTAACTGCCTGCAACCATTTTACTGAATTGATGCATTGTCTAATGATTGTCTTAATTCTATAAGATGTGAAATTAAAACAGTTTTTTTTGAATGGTTGAAAGATTAAAATGTTATAAATTAAGAAAAGTTCTCATGTATTTTAAAGTCACATGCAGCGAGTAGGGAAAGGAAAGGCAATTTTTTTTAACCCCATCACCTAAGATCTTGAACATCTCTCACCTTCTTTTTGTTGAAGGATATCTCAGGCCTTCTGGAGGAACCTAACAGCTGGCCTGATGAATGCTTCAGGCAACTGCAGCCAAAATTTGGACTCATTGCTCAGCAAGCGATGTGTATTTATTCTTAGTTTTCAAAATCATCCCATGCAAACATAGTTCCTACATTCATGCAAACTGCACTTTTGAACAATTGAACAAATTGGTCCAGGTGATAGTCAGTTTCTTTTATAAAAAGCCCAAAACATAGGATAAATGCCTCACAGCTCGGCTCATTTTGCTCATTGCTGAACTAGAAATCTTTCAACTAATCGACTGTAATTTGATATATTTAAATGTATTTCAATTGTGCATTTTCACATGCAACTGATTAATAAAATGGTAACATCTTCTTGCTCAAAGAAAATGATTGTGGATTAATTCTCTTAACATTCTGATATCTTCTTGCTCCCCAAGATGTGGGTGGTTGATCTTAAAATCCACAAGTGACTCTCATGTAGTGCTACCTCACCACACACTCATAACATCACAGCAATACCACCTCTGGGTTTCTCCGATTACTCACGCTTTCTGAACCTCACAAATAGTTAAACGGTTCACTGCTATGTTTAGCACAATGTTCTATGGTTGCAACAGTCACGGTTAGTAAATACATTGTTGGGAAACATAATACTGTTCTTTTCTACTCAGTGAATCACTGAGACTTTCCCATGTAACCACTCAAATCTACATTAGTTCTGTATCTGAGAGATTGGTAAATAAACTACACTATGTTACACTGAGCAATACAAACTGGGAAAGTCCAGGGCTCATTTCCTGATCTGTGCTGATCTAACTGATCTCAGTTTGGGAGTCAGGGATGAATGAGGAAGTGATGCTGCAATTTGCTGCAATACTTCAATGATTTTCATTGGAATAACTTATTATTCCAATAGTTAGCCTTTAGTTAAAAATTTTTTGCCTGACTGTCTTTTTTACTCCTGACCTGTTCACTATTTTCTCTGCTGTTAGAAACCTTCACCATTTTGCCTGGAGCTTTGTTTTGGATGTAAACTGTAATGTAAAATCGGTATTAATTTATTAACTCTGAACTCCTATTATTTTATAAAGTGTCACTGACAAATAGAACACTGAATACAAAGCAGGCCCCCCTTATTGAGGGAATCTAATACAATTATATCCAATTTTCCACTCTAATACTATTTTTGTTACTTACAAGCAGGACTAGCTTTAATAATAATAATAATCCTTAATAATAATAGTTAATACCAGCATGATACCATTATCCAGAAGAATATTTGCCCTCCAAGTTCCAAGGAAGTGTATTACTTTTATATCTTACCGAGAGCTAGCTGGACAGATAGATCGATAGATCAAGTAAATTTAGGCTGTTGCCAAGTAAGCAATTACAGCATCTTATAAGCACCAGCGACATCCTCCAAATGAGGGTGAAATGAATAATCGATTCATCTGTTTTTGTTGAAGTTGAATGAGGGAAGAATATTGAATAGCCTAATGACACTCACCCCAAAATGGGAGTGGCAGAGATGCCAAGTGGCATTTATCTGCATGACTAGGAGGAGAGAGAGGGCAAGGAATGGACATTTTGTTTGAGGTTGACTTTGGGGCTAGTCTCTATTCTGAGCAACAAGGATAACTGGTTGAGACACAGCTACTTTGTCACAATGATTCGACCACTTAATGACATTCCAATGGAGTACTGAAGGAGTTGCTGTTTCAGGTGGACATTAAAGATCTTATAGCAGTATTTTGAAGAAGACCGTGGCGTTTTCCTGATGTCCTGTCCAATATTCTATCCTCATTCAACTTCAACAAAAATAGATGAATCAATTATTCATTTCACCCTCATTTGGGGGGTGTTGCTAGTGCTGATAAGATGCTGTAATTGCTTACGTGGTAACAGCCTAAATTTATTTCAAGAAAATAATTCAGCATTTACCCAAATTGGGATTTACATTTTAATTAAAATCAATTTTATTGTTCAGCAGGCAAATGAAATAGAAAGAATGAAACCGTTCAACAAAATGAGGAAGGCTTCACCAAGAGGTATCAAGTTTCAGTACATTCTTTAAGGTATCACAAGGGGAAAAAGTAAAGCAGGAGAGAGGATTACAAGAGTGTAGTGAGAAGGGATTAAAGGATTAGTGAGGCAATTCACAATGTAATGTATTCTTGCCAAGTCTGAGCACTGGTTATGTACATCTTTGTCATGTGAGTTCCTACTTTAAATTTGGGGTGGTTAGGGCTAGGTAAACTGCTTAAGATTAAAAATTGACCAGGTTCGATTTGACATTAATTATGTCTAACAACATGGAGAGGGAGATAACACGGCAGAAAAGGGCATAAAAAGACGATTAGGGACCCCAGTGTTCAAGGTTATGAGGAAAGGTTCATTACACTAAACTTGTTTCAACAACAGAAAAGGGGAAGAATTATCCAGCTCTTTGAATAGCCTCAGTAGGTATCACTTTCACCTCCTCGTTAGAAGGTTGTGGATTTTTGTTTATAGTCTAGTAGACACCGCAGTACTAGGGAAGCACTATGCTGTGATGGATGCTGCCCTTTGACTGAGATGTTAAATCAAGTTGACATCTACCTGTTTCAAATGGATGCTAAAAGTCCAACTGCCACTATTCAGAAAAAGAAAGAACACTGTGTCTAGTTGATGCTATTTGATTTGAACCTGAGCATTAAAAACTGTGGGTCAAAAGATTTACCTACCTGACACAAGGATCAAATGTTCATGCTGTGGCAATTATCGGATTTGAAAGCAACTAGGTAAGTATATGGTTGAGAAGAGTTTTAGAGGTTACATGGCCAACTGCTGGATATAATAATTATAATCCTTACATTTGGTACAGTGTTTATAACATCTTCTAGACGTTTCTAAGCGCTTCACCGAATATACTGTAAAGTGAATTGACTGTATATTTGTGGGCGAAACAATTAGATGAACAAATACCCCAAGAGTCTTAATAGTTTCTAAGCTGCTAGAACCTTTTGAGATGGGAGAAGGAAGGTAGAGTTGAACAACAAAGAGTATCCATGGAAAGCTTTTTCCCAGGAAATAGAATCGATGACGGTCTGTGCACCCAACACCGGAGAGTCAGTCTAGATTGATATGGGGCTTGAACCCACAACATACTTTCAAAGAGGCAAATTGCATGAAATATAAGAAGTTAAATTACTCTTGAATTAAGTTCAAAGGAATTTCCTACTGACCATAAATGGAACTGACTTTGCAAGACTGAGGTTCAACTTGTGAAAAACTAAAACCGTAGCTGGGTGCAGGGGATGGAAAGGAAGTTTTGTCAACTGTGTGGGCTAAGTACTGAGGGTGTGTTTGAGCTGGATTGATTTCTGTAGGTGTCAAATTGACTTGAAATACTAACCTAATGCTAGTTAGCTTCGTTCAGCTGCATCAGTTGAGTCACGGGTTTGTTCTGTGTGGTCTATCCAGTGCAATGAGGGAACATTGAATCATGTTGACCTTTACCTGATAATAAGGCAACACGTCAAGATTAAAGGGTCTATGACATTAAAGGTGGGAAAATGATGGCCAGGGATCGACTTCAGCAAGTGTAATAGCAACCTCAAAAAGCTAATATTTAGCTTCCTTCGATGGCTCAGTTGGTAAAGTCACTGGGTACTACTACTAATAATAATAATAATATTTTACTGTGTAAAGCGAAACTGAGCAATAAATAAATAATAATTAATAATAATAATCCTTGCATTTGATATAGCGCTTTTCACGTCTTCTACATGTCTCAAAGCGCTTCACAGAATAGACTGTAAAGTTAATTGACTGTACATTTGCGGGTGAAACACGGCAGCCAATTGCGCACAGCAGCGTCTCACAAACAGTTGTGGATTGAGTGACCAAATTATTATTGTTTTAATTGGTTATTATCCCCGAAAAAGCGATCCGCCAATCGATCCTATGACAATACTGTCCTAGGAGGGGCCAGGTTTACCTTTCAGTCTATATTGAATTATATATCTCAGCTGGGGCACGAGAACAGAATAATAAATTAAACTTGCCTCAGTAGGCATCACCTCCACCTCCAAGTCAAAAGATTGTGGACATTTGTTTATAGAATTGGAGGCAAAGCTGTGTTAACATAACATAACATAACATAACATAACATAACATAACATAACATAACATAACATAACATAACATAACATGTAGGAGCAGGAGTAGGCCATTTGGCCCTTCGAGCCTGCCCCGCCATTCAATCATGGCTGATCTTCTAATCTAACTCCAGCTAATAACCTAACCCTGCCTTATCCCTATATCCCCTAACCCCTTTTGAAATAAGAAATCTATCTATCTCAGTCTTGAATATGTTCAAGGACTGAGCGTCAACAGCCCTTTGGGGTAGCGAGTTCCATACATTCACCACCCATTGAGTGAAGAAGTTCTTCCTCAACTCAGTGCGAAAGGGCTGCCTCTGATTTTAAGGTTGTGACCCCTGGTTTTAGTTTCTCCAACCGGGGGAAACAATCTCCCACTATCTACTCTATCATGCCCTTTGATGATCTTAAAGATTTCTATAAGATCCCCTCTAATTTTTCTATATTCTAGAGAATATAGGCCCAAATTGGTCAGCCTATCCTCGTAACTCATCCCCTTCAACCCTGGTACTAACCTAGTAAATCTACACTGCACCCCCTCCAAGGCAAGTACATCCTTTCTTAAATAAGGAGACCAAAACTGCACACAATATTCCAGGTGTGGTCTCACCAGGATCCTATACAGTTGCAGCAAGATTTCCCTACTCTTATACTCTAATCCTTTCATAATGAACGTTAACATACCGTTCGTTTTCCTAATTGCTCGCTGCACCTGCAGACTAACTTTCTGTGATTGGTGTACAAGGACACCCAAGTCCCTCTGGACGCTAACACATTCCAATCTCTCCCCTTCTAAAAAATAACCCGCTCTACTGTTTTTCCTACCTAGGTGGATGACTTCGCACTTCCCTACATTATACTTCATCTGCCACCTACCTGCCCAATCACCTAAGCTATCTATGTTGTGCTGCATTTTTTTAATGTCATCCTCTGTGTTGACACTTCCTCCTAGTTTTGTGTCATCCGCGAATTTAGATATATTAACTTCGATGTCCTCATCTAGAAAGTTGATGTAGATGGTAAATAGCTGAGGCCCAAGGACTGATCCTTGTGGCACTCCACTAGTCACATCCCGCCAATCTAAAAAGGACCCGTTTATCCCTACTCTTTGTTTCCTACCCGTTAACCATTCCCCAATCCACGTTAATATGCTCCCCCCAATTCCGTGGGCCCCTATCTTTTGGACTAACCTTTTATGCGGCACCTTATCGAATGCCTTCTGGAAGTCCAAATAGAC